CTATCTATCTATCTATCTATCTATCCACCCATTCTATTTATCTATCCACCCATTCTATCTATCAATCTATCTATCTGATCTCTACTTCTATATCTATCTACCTACCTACCTATCTACGCATTCTATCTATCTATCTATCATCTATCTATCCACCCATTCTATTTAGCTATCCACCCATTCTATATCTATCTATCTATCTATCTATCTATCTATCTATCTATCTATCTATCTATCTATCTATCTATCTATCTATCTATCTATCTATCTATCTATCTATCTATCTATGTATCTATGTATCTATCTATCTATCTATCTATCTATCTATCTATCTATCTATCTATCTATCTATCTATCTATCTATCTACCTATCTATCTATCTATCTATCTATCTACCTATCTCTCTCTCTCCAGCTCTTCCACATTGACTTCGGACACTTCCTGGACCACAAGAAAAAGAAATTTGGGTACAAACGGGAGCGCGTGCCCTTCGTCCTGACCCAGGACTTCCTCATCGTCATCAGCAAAGGGGTGCAGGAGTGCACCAAGACCAAAGAATTCGAGAGGTGGGCACGGGGGGGGTCCTCACCAAGCAGGTCACTCATCCCTCCACTGATACCTCCCCCCCGGGCCTCCTTCATTCCCCCCCCAGATCCTCTCTGAGCAATGCAGCCCCATCCATCTGCGTCCTCTCCCTCCCAGGCCTTCCATTCCCCTCCCTCCAGGGCAGGAATAGGCAACCTTGGCTCTTTTAGGACTCGTGGACTTCCACTCCCAGAATTCCTGAGCCAGCGTGGGGGAACTATGGCCCCCCCTTTATGACTTGTGGATTTCAACTCCCAGAATTCCTGAGCCAGCCATGCCTGTTTCTTTTCCTCTCCTACTTCCTAGAGCGGAGAGATTGCAGAGGAAGGGATTACAAGAGAGTAAACAGGCCACAATGGGTATACCTATCAAAAGGGATGCGTTAGTCCCAGGGAATTCTGGGAGTTGAAGCCCACAAGTCATAAAAGAGCCAAGATTCCCCACCCCAGTGTATCTCGGGGTGTGTTCCCCCCGGTTTTTTTCTTTCCTGCCCTGGCCAGCCCGTCTTCCTCCTCCTCCTCGCAGGTTCCAGGAGATGTGCTACAAGGCCTATCTGACCATCCGCCAGCACGCCAACCTGCTCATCAATCTCTTCTCCATGATGCTGGGCAGCGGGCTTCCGGAGCTGCAGTCCTTCGACGACGTGGCCTACCTGCGGAAGACCCTGGCGCTGGACAAGACGGAGCAGGAGGCCCTGGAGTACTTCACCAAGCAGATGAACGAGGCCCACCACGGCGGATGGACCACCAAGATGGACTGGATCTTCCACACCATCCGGCACATGCCGCTGAACGAGGCCAGCCACGACTGACCCACCGTCCAGGGAGGGTGGTGTGGACCCTCGCTCGGGCAGGGGCGGCCCCTTCTGGGGGCCCCCTTGATTTGTCAGAGACCCCCGTGGTCCGTGTCCTCTCTCGGGACCAGCCGAGAAGATCTGGTGGACCTGGAGAAGGTCAAGGAAGCAGGGAGGACCTGAGGTTTCTGCCGTCTGAGCCCCCTCCCAGCCCCCCAGGACAGTGGTGGGAAAGACCCTCTTGAGTAGGATCACAGCCTCCTCCTCCAAGCAACTGGGGTCTTTTCTCCACCTTCAACCCCCAGAGACCATCACTCTGTGCTCAGAGACCCTTCCTCAACCCTCCCCTGAAGCTTCCTGGGAAAAACTGGGGTGCTGCAGGCCAGAGGGGGGGGTGGCAAGCAACAGGGAGGAAGGACTGGGGGGTCCTTTTCCCGCCAGGAAGCAATCAAAAGACAAGGGTAATACTTGAAAACGTCCGGAGTCAGAAAGGAAAAAAAAAAAATCATAATTATTTTCTCTCTCTCTTTTTTTTCAAATAAAAATAAAAAAAACACACACACACACATTTGGAAGAGGGTTATTGTTTTTTTTTTAAAAAAAATTTGCTTGCTGCAAAAGGCAAACGCTGAATGGATCGGTCAGACGGAGTCCGATGGCGCCTGTTTTCGCCCTAACGCATTTCACGATGAAAAGTTTTGTTTTCAAAATAAAAGGCGATTTTATGAAATTTAACACCGTTCAGTTTTATTACATTTAACGAAATTCGATTCTGTTCAGCCTAACAACGTTCGACTTTATTATACTTGATAAAGTTTCGTTTGGTTAAATGTAATAAAATTTAATAAAGCCAATTCTGTTTTTTAAATGAAATGTGTAGGGCCGTAGGGCCGCCGGGCCCTCCCTCAGGTTTGACCCCTGTGGGCTATCGTGGTTCTCCTCTCAGACCAAATCAACAAAAGGTGATTTATATTGTGGCCAAGTGGCTTTAATCAAAGGCTACGGGGATCCTGGTTTGCTTGGAAGTATCTCTAGGGAATTCAGGCCAGCCTCAGAGCCAGTTTGGGGTCGTGGTTAAGGCGCCAGGCTCACAACCGGGAGCTTGTGAATTCTAGATCTGCTTTAGGCACGAAAACTGACTAGGTGACTTTGTGCCAGCCACTTTCTCTCAGCCCCAGGAAGGAGGCAATGGCAAACCAATTGCCAAGGAAACGGGGTGCCCTGATGTGACAACGTCCTCCTCCCCCCTCCAAGGATCCATTGCCCCAATTGGGGGAGGGGGGTGCCTAAATTAGAGCAGACCCCCTGAGCTCCGTGCAGGCATTTACAAGCAGTCCTCGACTTAACGACCGCAATTGAGCCGAAAATATCTGTTACTGTCAAGTGAGTTTTGCTCCATTTTATGACCTCCAATTATTAAGTTAGCAGCACCGTCGTTAAGTAAATCTGGCTTCCCATGGTTTGTCAGACGGTCGCAAAAGGGGATCTAATGACACACACACACACACCCAGGGGACGCCGCGACCGTCGTAAATGTGAGTCAGTTGGCGTCTGAATTTTGATCACGTGACCATCGGGATGCTACGACGGTCGTTAAATGTGAAACGCGGTTATGAGTCCCTTTTTTCAGTGCCGTTTTGAACGGTCAGTAAATGAACAGTTGTAAAGCTTCAACCTTTAGAATGGAAGATTTTTAGCTTCTGGCGCTTCAACGTTGATTTTCCCAAGTCAGACGTGATTTGATTGACACCTGTCCTGGGAGAGGGACTATTTGTCGCAAACACAGCCGCCGCTATCCATCCACCAGGCCTTCCTGAGCATCCAAAAAACAGTCAATCAGCCTTTTTTTTATTCCATCGTGCAATAAACATTTACAGCCGTTGACCGAGTAACGAAAGAGGAAGGAAGGAATGAAAGAAGGAAGGAGAGGAGAGGAGGCAGGATTCCCGTCTTATTACATAGCAATAAATCAATTCCATTTATAGCAGACCTTGCTGCTGATAAATCCCGTGGGGAGGGGTGTGTGCAAAGGAGGGGGGGCTGCCATTCCATGGGGGGGCGTGCAATTAACCCAGGGGGGCCCCGACGGCCTTGCTAGTCTATTGCATAGCAATATTCCGATAATTCATAGTGAACCCTGTCACTGATAAATTAAGAATCAGGAGGAAAAAAGGAAGGAAGGAAAGAGAAAAACTTGGGGGGAGGATGTGAAACGAAACCCGTGTGTGTGTGTGTGACTGTGTGCACACACGTGTGCTTGCAAAAAGTGCAACACCCTTTGCCAAACGGATCTCCTTTGGGGGTAACCAGAGTCGAGGGGAGAGATCTAGGGACTCTAAACGCCGGAGCTAACGCTAGGGGCCCCGGGCCCTTGGCCGAGGCCCTGATTTGGGTCCCGGCTCAGAAATTGTTGTCGATATTCCACACATCCCCGCTAAGTGCGTTGGCGGCCCCCTGCAGCGTCCAGGTGACGAGGGCGAGTTGCTGGCGGAAGAGAACTTCATTGAACTTCTCCGGGGCGTCCCGCAGGAGGCTGACGTGCTCCAGGAGGGCCCTCAGGGTGTGGGGGCCCCGGCCGTGGATGATGTGCCGGAAGGGGGTCTCGGTCACCGCCACGTATTGAGAGAGGAAGTAGAATTCCACCTGGAGGAGGGGAAGCAAAAGGAGGCATCCTTTGGCCTGGTGGGGGGAGCGGTGGAGCCCAAAGGGCCACTGCCAGGCTGAGGGAGTGGGGGTCCTTTCATCCAGACACCCCCGAGGCTGATTGTCCATGATCTTCCAGAATCAGGATATGGGTCTGGGGGCTCCTTTTCTGTCTAACAAGTGTTATTCGGGGCCAATGAAAGCAGCTGCTGCTGCTTATGAAGACAGCCACTCTGAAACTAAGTCCCGCTTAAGAAGGCAGCCACCTCTGAAACTCAATCCCGCTTATGAACGTAGCCACCTCTGAAACTCCTGATGAAGGCAGCCACCTCTGAAACAGCCCCGTTTATGAACGTAGCCACCTCTGAAACTCAGTCCCGCTTATGAAGGCAGCCACCTCTGAAACTCAATCCCGCTTTGAACTTAGCCACCTCTGAAACTCCCGATGAAGGCAGGCACCTCTGAAACTCAGTCCCGCTTATGAACGTAGCCACCTCTGAAACTCAGTCCCGCTTAAGAAGGCAGCCACCTCTGAAACTCA